CGATTCATGCTTTTTTATATAATACCGATACATAATGTAGATATGATTCCTGAATACCGAGATACGCCATTAATATCGCCGATTCCACGGCCAACAATCGAAACATGTCCACCATTAACAGACTCACAACTACAAATAATACAGCAGCATCACCAGTATTCTTTACCTAATCGAATGAATTTTCAAAGACAACGAGAACCAATTCCTCCGATAAAATCTGAACCACAACAACAAAATCCTCAAATACCATCAAATTCTTCTTTATTTTCGCTTGCATCTGCTGCTGATATTGAAAGACAAAATAATTCGGATTTTCTATATTGTCAAATTCCATTCTATGAAGCCCGTGAACTTGAAGGATTGAAAATGGTTGTAGGCAAAGTAAATATATATTGAGAGTTATTAATCGAGGCTTTCAAATACTTGAAACTTTAAAAATGAATTATATTGCAAAGCCTATTCCACCGGACTTATATTTTGTTCTGTCAATATAGTCAATGGGTTGCTCGAGAGAAAGGTATGGAATTTTTTCTCTAAATCATTCAGGAACTCGAGATTAACTGAGAATTATAAATAGCATCAACTATCCACAATTCCTCATGAACAATTTACTGCTGCACGTGGAAAGTCAAATCCTTACGAAAAAGACAGGTAATTCGATTTTTATCAATCGTGCCGCGGTTAAATTGGCTTGTTTGGATGCTACGAATCGGTTGACTGGAAAGAAATTCTCCAGTAAAAGAGTAAATATTCTAAAATATTTTTAATACTCTGCAATTTTGATATTTTTAACAATAATAATTTTTTTATTAACTTAGCCTTACAGGTTTGCAGATATATGTGGTGGTCCCGGTGGATTCTCCGGTAATTTATTCATATTTTACAATTCTAATAATTCATTCCTCAATAATTAATTGATAATTGTATGCAAAAGAATATATATTATGGCGTAAACATGTATATGGATGGGGTATTACTTTAGTTGGAGATAAAGATTTCGTTCCCGAGTCATTTTATCCTGATTCGGGAGTGGATGATTGCTATGAAATTATTTATGGAGCTGATGGATCAGGTATTTTTTATGATTTTACATTATTTCATTGCTATTTTTACTATAAGAAGCTTAAATTACTACTATTTTATCTGTAGGTGATATATGCAAAGAAGAAAATATCCGAGAATTTGGTAGAATTATTTTAGATAAAACTATGGGTGCTGGTGTAGATTTGGTTGTTGCTGATGGTGTAAGTGCTATTATGTTCTTTTTGATATAGTAGCAATAGTAATGATGATAATAAAGATAATAAAAAATAAAGTATAATAATCTTATGAATTCTAGGGAATTAATTTCCGAGGACTTGAACAAGATCAAGAAATCCGAATGCGAAAATTAATTTTGTGCCAAGTTATTACTATGTTTCTTGCCCTTCAACAAAGTAGGTATAACATTATACAATCTCCTTCATTGACAATAATAATATTTTGCATATATTAAAATTTATTTTTTCAGATGGAGAATTCGTATTGAAATTATTTGACATTTTTACTCAATTTACCGCTGGAATTGTTTGGATTCTTTACCGCCATTTCAAGTGTATTCGTATTCAGAAACCGGAGCCAAGTCGACCTGCTAATTCTGAAAGGCATGACTTAAATAATTAAACTTCTAATACACCACCTAAAGATTCTTATTTTATTTCTCGTTTACACAAAAAAAAAAGATACATAATATGTCGTGGACTCCATCAATCCCGTCCAACAATAACCAATTATTTATTCGACATCAATCGTAAATTCAATGACCTCTTACGTCGTCGTAGTCGTGGTGAACAAGAAGAACAAGATATAATTCAGATTGTAGATTTTGAGGAAATGAAAAAAGATGAGCCGTTTATACGGTATCTGAGGAATTCTAATGAAAAGTGAGTGAAAAATTATTAGTCTTTTTGGAGTATATTTATTGTAATGTCACCAAAGGGAGTTGATATGTATGCTATATTTTTATTTCTAGAATTGCTCTGGAACAGCGTAAAGCATTGGATAAGCTATTGCAATATGTGCAGAAGCCGTATCCTTTTTTTTCTTTTTTATTTCTCTACGTTTCTCTAAATTACAGGGTATTTTCACTTGCTACATATTTTATGCATTATTTAATTAGTGAATTAAAACCAGAAAATCAGGAAGAAATCCGTCGATTACGATTCAATCAGTGGTGGTTGCCAATTGAAGAACGGCAGCGGCATTCTAGTGGTGATAGGGGTGATCAATATACTAATGATTATTATCATCGTAATTATTAATATTTCTAAGCTGGTGAGAAATTTTATTATTGATCTCATAACATTTAAACTCTAAATAGTTGTGTCGAATTCTCATTATAATTTTTGTTTTTGCATTCAAGTTATCAAACTTTCACTATGTGAGATTCTCAAACACGCTCCTATTATAATATGAATAAAAAATCGATGGCTCAAAAAATGAATCGGGAGGTCGGGGTTAAGAGGGCGTGGAAACCGTGGCGGGGGGGGAGGATTTTGAATGATCACTGTAAGATAGTTAATGCTGTATTCGAGGGCAACAAGAGCTGGACGAAATCAAAATCAAATTCAAAGGTATTAATAGTATCCCATGAGCAGGCAGCTAATGGGGATTATGATTCTCTCGGCGGGGATATAATGCTGACAACACTGCTTTCTGGGTGCTTATTTGCTATTAAATGACGTTTTTTTTTTGAAGATTGAGATACAAATGCACACTCTGGTTCAGTCCCAAGCTTTAAATATTCACACACTATAAATGCAACCCCCCCTAAATACACACCCATGTCTGACTAGTGATATGGGCACTTCTTATAATATCACGTTTTGCAGATCCTGACTTAAGTTACTCGTGACTATAAAAAAAATTGACGCGTCGCAATACGTTCTCAAATGGAAGACTCGCCACAGCAGCGTATTAATATTCTTAGACAGCAATTAGATTTTTTACAAGCTCAATTAGGCGCTACTACAAATTTTTTCGAGGTCCTTACTTTTCAAAATTACGCATTTCTTTTTTTTTACCTTTGAACAAGGTTGTTGAGAAAATACTTTTTTATTAGAAACATCCAAAACAAGCAACTTTTGCTACAAAAACTTTGAACCAGCCTTCAAAACCCTTTCTTTCTCCCCAACTTGACCGTGCGAAAAGTGATGTATTTCCGGAGCAGATACACCCTATTTTAGCGTTGCAGCTAGACGACTATGTCCTTCCAACTGAGTCAGAAAGAACGTCTGCAGTCCCTCCTTCTAAAATGCCCAAAAATGACGCTACCCGATCTGGTACTGGTGATTTATTAATGCATGGACAACGAAATCAAAAATCCACCAATATTATTCGAAATTGTGTGGTCGATGAAGACAGTGATTTTGCAGTTTTGCTTACAAAAGTCAATGAAGTATTAGGATCCAACGAGGAAAAAGCTCAGGACTACTATACAGCTGAACCAAAGCATAATGAAAACAATCAAGTCGAAAAAGACCTATTGAAGAAAATAGATGCTATCTTGAATTCTGAAGAAGGGCGCACCTTTTTTGAGCATAGAAATAATGACATTATGCTTGAAGATCAAGAAGCACGTAATGCGCTTGCATCTCGTTATGAAACATATGGTTCACGAGGTTGGCGAAATCCAAATGGTTATGCTGTGGATGGTCGAGATGTGATTTCGGATGCTCGCCAAAGCAGTAATCGCGCACAATTGAGGCATAATGAGAATTCAAGACTCAATTATGCTGCATACGATTTGTCAGAAAAGTTACATCGTCAGGTAACTTTTTTGCTCAAGTTCGGTTATTAATAATTCACTACTAAACTATATATGCAATTTAGAAACCTCTTGGATTTGATACTGTAACGAGAAAACATCCATTCTATAATGATCATAATAATCGTTATTCTGGCCATTTACTCAAAGAAAGCAACGAAACAACGATTGGAGATGATGATGATTCCAGTATTACATTTGATGAAATACTACCTGAACGTTATTTTGGTGACCATACAATTAATAGTGAAGCCATTGTCCATTCATTATACTCGAGCAGATTTCAACAACCCAATATTCAAGAACGTGATGTTGGAAATCAACATCCTTTGCTAAAACAAAAGTGGCATCACGGTTAATATATTTTTATGTAAAGGTTCAAAAAGAAATTAAAATCACCAAGACAAAAAAACATTGTGTTGAATGTTTCAAATTAATTACAAAATGAAAGTAAATTGTCTCAATTATGAGAATAATTTGTGATCCATTCGTCATGTCTTTTTAATAGTTCATTTACTATTCGACTTTCAATCTCAACTCCATTTCTCTCTTCCTCTTCAGATAACTTTAACTCCATTTCTGAATCATGAGTGATTAAATTCACTTCTCTTTTACGTGTAGTCAACAAATTACCAATTACTATTTGATGGCCATAACGGATCAGCGCTTGCCTTGATTTGGGAATCAAAAGATGTGGATCTGTTTCAAGCTATATCGGATCATATCATATCATATCATATCACATAGTCAGTCACATAATCAGATTATTTATTAAATCCAAAATTTTAGATAAGATTAAAATCACCTTAAATGAAACAATGTATCCTTGAGGCGCCCAAAAAGTAACCATTGGCTTTAGAAATTTTGGCACTTGATCCATTTTGAGAGTCATAGCCCCATCTCCTGATTGGATTTTATGTTCAGCCTGATTATATACGTTAAATTTAATGAATCTTCAATATAGATTTATTAGAAAAAATATACTTGCCATTTTTTGAGATGGAATGAAAAAATCGCTGACAGCCGCAGCGAGATAATAAAGGGCGTGGTGTGTTAGCCCGTTCAACGCATGCGAGACACTCCGAAGCAAGAAGAGGTAATCGTTCACCGTAAAAAACTCAAGCATTAAAAGCATTTCCTTTCTTTTATACTCGAAGATGCAAAAAAAAATTCAAAAAGAATAAGATCATTATTATCATGAAATAGAAATAAGATATGACGCATTCAATACAAACTTCTTGATATTTTGTTAACGTCGCCTTCATTTTATGCGCATATTCAGAACAAACTAATCATAGAGAAATAAAATTAGCGCCTCCTTTTCGTCTCAAAAAATCATTTAGTGAATAAATACCGTTAATAGACCCATCCGGTTTCAGTTCTAATAAATCCAAGATGCTCTGATGCGAAAAATGTCGATTATATGGTTGCAAACTGAATTGCCTGTGCATAAAAATAACAGCGTAGTCTGCTTCAAGAAAATACGTGTTGTAATAGTCCAGTCGATTAAGGGATAGATCAAAACTTTTTTTGGCACGTAAACTAGACGAATCAGATGAATTAGACAATCAAAAGGATATTCAGCTGATGTTGCTCCCCTTGTTCCAGCGCTAAAGTTATCTATGAATCGAACTGTTTGATTTTCCAATGGAACAGTGGTTCCTCCACTCTAATAATGAACATTAAATGTGGTATAGGTAGCAGCGAGAAAATATAATTTGGAGTAGTAGTGTGCTTACCGTTATTAAGACGACCTTACTTCCTTTCGCTGCATGTTTACTCACGAATTCGTTTACCTGTTTCTCGTTCTTTTCCAAAGATTTTGGAGGTGTATGAGTTACAAAGTAAGTGTCAGGATTGATAGTTTCACGATTAGTTTCTAATATACTGTCACCGGTTTTGAGGTTTACTGTAGTCATGTTAACTTGCTCGACAGTAGTAACTGATATTTATTATGGATAAATGCACTACATGAAAATTTGATATCTCTGATCATAAAATTTAATAAATGACTCATACCGATACCAAAAAAATAAAATTAATCTTTAATATTTTCCGCCTAAAAAATAATAATGGCTAGTTTATTTCGAACTTGTATTCTACGTTCTGCTAGGGCAGCAGCAACTTTTACAGGTCCACTGAAAAGTTCTTTTGGACAAGCGACCCCCATAACAACAAGCTTTAAAAGCCTAAGCTTTATCTCTTCTCCATGCACGCGTCTAATATTAAATAATTATACTCGTTCGTTTTCTACGACTAGCATTCGTTCTTTGAGTAGAGGTATATGTAAAATCCCAATTTTCAGAATGCGCCTCTTTACACTATTGAATAAAGTCTAAAGTATTGCTTCCACTCGGAAATAAAACGCGATTTAAAGTTGACCAGAATCTGGCAGAACAACTGGCCTATGAAATAAAAACCGAAACCGAAAGCTCGTCGTATACTCCTGATACGCCTGACTTTATAAAAGAATTCTTGAACCGACAAACTTTTAAAGTAATTACCTTTTTTTAAAAATGATCTCACGCGTGACCACGCTAATCTCCAATTGTTAATTTTTTCGACGTCGATTAATAAAGATTGAGGATAAGGCAGGACACGATGAGGTTGCTATAACGCGAACTTTTGGAAATGAAACGTATGTTTAATTAAAATATCTGAAAATGGGTCACACTTTAATTTTTGTATCGATCGTTAAATTTAACTAATAACAATTTATATGCTTATAAAGACTTCGATTACTTTTCTCAGTTTCTGAAGTCACATCATCCGAATCTTCAAGTGATTCGTTTTCTGACGAGGATGACTATGACAGCGACGGAGATGATTCTGTGAGTGATGAAAATGCAGAAGTAAGAAACTAAAACGCGTAAATTTGAATCAACTAATTGTAGTCGAATTTTCATATGCATTCATTCTATCCTTGACATAAATTCTAAACAAGGAAAAAATCAAATGTAATTGTTGAATGTGGTAATGATTTGTTACATTTTGAAAAAAAGGATGAGGATGATGATTTATCCGAAGGCACTTTTCCCATAAGATGTGTTCTCACGGTTGAAAAGGTTTTTTTTCTTATTTTTTTTTTATTATTTTGATTAAAGGTTCAAAAAATATTTGAGATCTAAAATTTAAAATCATCTCATTAAAAGCAAGCCAAAGGAGCATTGGCTTTTGAGTTGACATGTGAAGACGGGGTGTTTATTATTGACAGCATCTCATATTACAAAGACGGAAATTTGGCCAATGATTTAACAGTGGAAGGAGATTGGCAAAGGAGAAGATTGTACTTGGGTCCACGATTCGAGAATCTCGATAATGTATTCATTCGATATTGACCATGAATTTGTGTTTTCATTTTCTTCTGTACTTTCTTAAACAATCTAACGCTATATGAATATTTAGGAGGTTCAAATTTTATTTGAACGATACTTGGAAGAACGAGGAATCGATACTTCTCTCGCCCTATTCATCCCTAACTATGTTGACTATAAGGAACAAAAAGAATATCTTGGGTGGCTACATAATGTAAAGAAATTTGTGGAAGCTTAAAGGTAATTCAAAGTCTAAATGGAATAAATTTGAATAAAAATAACAACAGTGTATGACCAAATATTGATTCTCTTAATTCGTGTGGTTGGTTTCATCCCTTAATCTACTACTGTGATTTCCATTTCATATATATATATGCGTTACACAACCATCGCACATTGCCCTTTTTAATAGTTTAGATAAATGTGAAATTAATAACTAGATTCACACACAAAACTATATGCTAGCAACGTTCAAGTTCTAATCACTCCTTTTTTCCTTTCTCTTTTTTCCTCCGCCTTGTGCGCGTATCTCATATACCTCACCACCTCCTTTGTCCCTCCCCCCTTCCCACATAAGGGTTGTAACAACCCATATACTCTAAAAACTTGTTTTACAAGTGTCAACGATAAACGTGCAGTCTTTTTTTGTTTCCTGCGGGACAGTAACACCTAAACTAAGCATCTCTCTTAGCTTACCCCAAATTTCTAATTGTGACCGTGCTAGCGCCTTACACCAATTTTAACAATCTCGCGACTTTTTTCTCTAACACGCATTCTCGAAAATTTAATATTCAACTCACCCGAGCAGGAAAAACTAAAACTAATACAAAATGGATTATGATTACGAACCTTATCAGCCACCTTACTCGCCCGCACCCTCTACAATACCACCGGCTCCCAGTAGAACGCCGCCACCAAATTCATTTGCACCACCAAACCCTTCCACCGCGATCTTTAACGCAATAATACAAAACAACGTCGGACTACTTAGCTCTATACTAAGTAAAACCTTTTTTGACCTGAATAATTTACGAAATCGGGATGGCAAGACACCTTTAATGGTTGCTGCTTCCGAAAATTGCATCGATATAGTTCGTTATTTATCGAATATTCAAAGTGTTAATTTGAACTTGCAAGGTACATTCTAGATAGTATCCTATTCGAATTCTAAACCTCTATTAAATTTAAATTCATTATAATTCAGATAACGACGGTGAATCTGCATTATATCAAGCTGCCTCCAATAATTGCATAGAGTCTGTAGAAATTTTAATTAGCGCAGGCGCATACATCGAGTCTAGTAATAAGGTAACATAAAATTTTATTAATTCATGCATTAAATTATTCTATTTATTAATCGTAAACTTAAAATTCATAATTAGGAAAATATCACGCCACTTATTATAGCTGCCTATAATGGTAATGCTATCGTATGCACTATATTATTAGACCAAGGTCACGCTAATGTAAATCAGCAAGATAATACAAATAAGACTGCGCTTACCTTAGCTGCATATGAAGGTCATTCTGAAGTTGTTGAAGTGTTGTTGGCTAGAGGTGCCAACGTGGATCTAACCGATCAGGTGTGTTATAAACGTGACTTTTTCTAATAATAGTCAATGTTAATTTTTGATTATTTTTAGTTTGGTTGGACCGCATTGATGCTCGCTGCATACTCAAATCGCTATGAAGCATGCCAGAAATTATTAATGCATAACGCTGATAAACATGTTGCGACAAATAATGGCAAAACTGCGGTCGCGCTTGCACGTGAAGCAGGTCATTTCAATGTAGCTGATATGATTGAGAATTTTGGAACAGATCCTTTAGAAACACCTTATGGAATGCCATTTTCACCGAATAACTATAATAATAATCCTCCGAGTCATCAAGCTAATTATTATAATAATGCGCCTCAAAATCAACACATACCCCCTCAAGATATATCTGACGATAATTTATACAGAGATCCTTATTCTGTTAGAGGTCATATGATGCCACTTGAACGTAGAGACACAAGACGCGTCGCACTTCAATCTAGGAATGTGGAAAGACGTCGATCAGAGTACTATAATCTCAATGCTAATAAAGTAGGACCTCATGCTGGTGAGCTCAGAACAGCACCTCATGTAAAACAGGATATGGTACCAAGAGATGATGGATCGCCTTGGGTTATTTTTTCATTAATAGTCACTGGATGTTTTTGTAATCCTTGTTTGTCAAGCATCGGTAAGATGAAAGATCCAAACCTTCGACAAGCTTGGCGAGAGAAAGTAGCACTTTGCATTATTATTCTTCTTATTTCTGCCTTTATGGGATTCTTGACCTTTGGATTATCAACAATAGCCTGTCAGAAAAAAGTGCCTCTTTACCCTCAAGATATTCTACGATTGTATGGACCACAAGTTCCTGGACAAAAGGTCCATATCATTCGTGGTAAACTTTACGATACTGGCGTCTATTTCTTGTCTGGCGAGCATAGACCTATTGCTCCTTTAAGTGACGCCGACTTGAACCCAATCATTACACCATTATTTGGTAGCGAAATAAAAGATTTCTTTCCACCTAATTACAAAGGTCTGGGGTGCCAAAGTGAGCCCAAGAATACTGTATGTCAACAAGGAGATCCAAAATATCATTGTCATACATCTCTTGCTTCTCAACGAAAGTTAGATACCCTCTTTATGCATCTGTTCGTCGGATTTACCTGGGAAAATATAACAAACGGGGATCGTAAATTATTTGTATATAATGAAAATGTCTACGATTTGACTCAATATCTCGATCCACAAAACTCTGATTATTGGCTCGGTGATGGCAACACTACTCAATGGTTACAATCACTTGTTGGTCGAGATGCAACTAAAGACATTGTTCGAAGTAATAACTCCACACAGCTTGCCAAATGTTTCGAGCACTTTAAAGTCGGACAAATTGATGGTACAACGATCGGATGTTTCTCCACGAATCTAGTTTTAATTATCATGACTGTAATATTCACCGGGATTACTTTGATTAAATTTGTATCTGCCATAACCTTTGATTGGTTTTTATCTCGACAATTGGGTAAAATTTCAAAGAAACCCAAACCGGATAATGCAATCAGTCATGTACTTTTACTGGTCACTTGTTATTCCGAAGGCGTAGAATCTATGCGAACTACTCTTGATTCATTAGCTGGAACTGATTATTCGGATAAACATAAGTTACTTTTTGTAATAGCAGATGGTGATATTACAGGCTCTGATAACGATAGATCGACTCCACAAATCTGCATTGATTTACTAGAACCACAATTTTCGGATGCTGGAGAACCAGAACCAATGTCCTATGTCGCAATTGGTGATGGTATTAAACAACACAACATGGCAAAAGTATATACCGGCTATTATAATGTCGGAACCCATCATGTACCGATGTGTTTGATCATTAAATGCGGCACAGAAGAAGAAAGGAAAGGTGCGAAGGCGGGTAATCGTGGTAAACGTGATTCCCAATTAATTTTAATGACTTGGTTAAGTCATGTATTCTTCAATGAACGATTATCGCCGTTGGAATTCGATCTATTCCAAAAGGTGCGTGGTTTGACTGGCGTGACTCCCGATAAATATGATATGGTTTTGATGGTGGACGCTGACACTTTGGTTAAACCGGATAGTGTTAGTTATATGGTTGCTGCAATGGAACGTGATCCAAAAGTAATGGGACTTTGCGGTGAAACTAAAATTGCAAATAAAACTGCAAGCTGGGTAGCAATGATTCAGGTATTTATTTTTTTTAAAATACAATTAATCGGAAGAAAACGGAGATATTGACTAATGTTAATATTCAATAAACAGGTTTTTGAATATTATATTTCTCATCATCTTGGAAAATCTTTTGAATCAATTTTTGGTGGTGTCACATGTTTGCCCGGTTGTTTCTGTATGTATCGTATTAAAACACCAAAATACGACGGCTCTTCAGTTCCAATTCTATGTAATCCAGATATTGTCGAAATGTATTCCTCCAACACCGTCGAAACCCTACATCAAAAGAATCTCTTGTTGTTGGGAGAAGATCGTTATCTCACAACCTTGATGTTGAGAACATTCCCAAAACGTAAAATGATTTACGTACCTAAAGCTATATGCAAAACTGTTGTCCCTGACGAATTCAATGTTTTACTTTCTCAACGTCGTCGATGGATCAATTCTACTATTCATAATCTCATGGAACTCATTCTCGTCCCTCAATTATGTGGTATCTTTTGCTGCTCTATGCAATTCGTTATTTTCCTCGAATTAGTGGGCACTGTGGTGTTACCATCTTCGCTCTTGTTTATGATATATCTCGGAATTGCTGCAGCCCATGGTCAACCCGTATTATTACCATTACTGTTTATCGCAGCAACTTATTTCCTTCAAGCTTTCTTGATCGTCTTTACCTCGCACAAGCCCGTCTATGTTCTTTGGATGATAGTTTTTATATTTGCAATGCCCATTTGGAATTTCCTTTTGCCTATATACGCTTTCTGGCATTTTGACGGTAAATTTTATTTTATGAATTTATTACAAAACCGGCAAACATACTAATGTCATTGATGATTGTATAGATTTCTCATGGGGTGCAACTCGTAAGATTGCAGGTGTTGATAATGGCCATGGAGATGGAGGTGGCAATGTATTTGATCCAAAAAGCATTCCAATGAAGACTTGGGACGAATGGTTGCTTGACAACAAGACAAAAGAATTACCAGTATATTCGCCATCATCGAAACCGGTGTCCGATAACAAGCAGAATAATTTTGGATCGCCTAGCCCAAGGATGATGGACAAAAATGAATATAACAATTATAGTGGAAGGCTGATGGGACCTAGGAGTCCTGGCGTTGGAGCAAAACATTGATTTATTTGGTTTCGGACTTAATTTTTGTAAATTTCAACAACAATCATCATCATAACAACAAAAATTATTGTAAAAAACAATTAATCAGTTACAATGGTGTTCCAATAGAGGCTTGCGTGTTTATCAACAAAATTAATTGGATCGTCGCGCAGGGAACTTGTATAACTTTTATTATATATATATATATATCATTTCTATTTGTATTTTATTTCTAGAGCATTTATACTTTACTGTATCACAACATACCTTTATTTGTAGCATTATTCTCATTAATATTTTGCATCACTCAATTTCATAACATTGGAAAAAACATTTAATTTTTGAGCCAAAGATTGGCTCAAATGAAATGATATTTCTTTTGTTGTATATGCATGCGAAATTCGAAAAAATAGCATGATCACCAAAAATTTATTAGTTTGATTGTCACAAGTGTTGTTGTTATGCATATTATATATATACAATGAAACAATCTTGCGAAATAATGGCTGATTTATTATTCAGACAAAATTTTTTCAAGAACCGTCTAGTCGTTGATTTTTCTCGCTCACTAACCACTCTTCGTAACAACAATCTAAGGGATGTACTAGATAGCAACAGGGCATGGGCCAATTCCTATAAACTCCGTGAAGCAAAATTTTTCCCCAAACTCGCCATGTCGCAAAAACCAAAAATTTTCTGGATAGGTTGCGCAGATTCTCGCGTTCCACCCGAAATGATATCCCAATTGGGGTTTGGACAATTGTTTATCCATCGAAACATTGCGAATCAATTCAAGAAAGAGGATCAAAGTTGCGAGTCGACATTAGAGTATGCCGTGCATTACCTTAAAGTCGAGCATGTTATCGTGTGTGGACATACGAGGTGTGGTGGTATTGAACATGCGTTCAATGAGAATCTTTTACCATACCTGAAGGACTGGGTGAAACCAATACAGGATGTGTACAAAGTACACAAGGACAAATTTAAGGGTGTGTCGCATAAAGAAGAGTTTAATCGGATTCTGGTAAAACTTAATGTTGGAGAGCAAATTAGAAAAATTGCCGAGACAGATGTGGTTAAAGCTGCTTGGGCAGCTAATCAACCTTTGGCGATTCATGGCTGGGTTTATCATTTGGAATCGGGAACTTTGGAAGACTTAAAAATTACAATTGATGAAGCTTAAGAAAATAATTCCATATATTTTTGTAGTATTTATTTTTATTTGATTTTTACAAAGTAATCTCTAATTTACACATGTATCAACAGAATAACAACACATGGAGTAAAATACAAGATAAAAAATATTCAATTGATTCAAACCTTTGTTGTATATAAAAGATTGATGAGGAAATATATCAAGTAATAGCCAATCAAATTGTATCCTGCAAATTATATGACTCATATTATTATAATTATCGTTATCATAGCGGTAGAGTTAGTTCTTCATACTTCTATACATCCTCAAAATGGCTGGTAAGGCAGCGACCGTATTTATCATTGATGTCGGTTCCACCATGTGGCAAAAGACGGTGGACAATACCGGCGCTACTGCTTTAGATCTCGCCTCAAAAGCTGTACAAATAATGATAGAAACTAAGGTATTGTCAGTAGTATTATATATAAGAGGACGCGTTTAGCTTTGTAGAAGAGGTATCTTTTTATTGCTTTTGGCAGAATATGACTATATAAAATATGATATTCATACGAAGATTTTCACTTGTAATTAGGTAATATAGTCCTACATGCTGTATATTAGAATTTTGCATTATAAACGCGTCTGTTGTTTTATTATGTAGATATTTTCTGAACGTAAAACGGATAAGACAGCTGTAATTGCTGTTGGAACAGATGGTAAATAAAATTTCTGAATTTCGGTTTATCTTTATCGATATGTTATATCGTGATGATTATACGAGCTGTTAATTCATAATTTTTGATTCTGTCAGATACAGACAATGATTTTGCCGATGACATTACATATGAACACATTACCGTAATTAGTGAAATAGAACAACCAATGCTTCCGTTACTTCGAACTGTAAGCAATGAACTTCCTCGTGGCAACGTTTCGGGTGATTGTAAGTTGTTTCCGGGCGTCACAATTTCAATAATTTATCTTTTTGAGAAAATATAAGCATATCGTCAATTAATTAACTTTGGAATTAATTCGAATTAGGTTTTTCCGCGATAGAAGTCGCAAGTGACTTGATCACGAAACATTGTAAACATTTAAAGTATATTAAGAAAATCTATCTGTTCACAGACGGCGAGTCAAAGATTGGTACTCGCAAGAATGATTCTCTTGTTCATGAAATACGTCGTGGAGGGATTGAGATAAAAATTGTGTATGTATTTATTTTTTGAGATGAATTCACAGATGATTATTTACTTGAATTTCTATAAATTCAAACTCTTTGTACGAGATTCGTTGTTTTTAATTTCTTTAACGTCTTATGTGTATAGTGGCGCGGGATTCGATGATCCTGATACTGGTTTCAAAGAGCAAGACAAATCAATAATCAAAGTAAATGCTTTTTCAGAATTAGTAACTATTTTTATTTAATTTCAAGCTTCTTTGATATATTTGCTTATAATCAATAGGCAGCAAATGAGGAATTTTTGCGTAAATTTGCGGAAGATTGTGATGGCGATTTTTTTACATTAAGTTATTTCCTAAATCAACTTGAATCACCTCAAGTTAAATCCATAAGGCTCGTAAATTTATACAAAGGAAAAACACTTGTAATGGGCGACGCAGAAAATTATCCCGACTCTTCATTATCTATTCCTATAGAGATTTACAGTCGAACCACCATCGCCAGGCCAAAAACCGCAAGCAAGTGGTCTGTTCTTTCAGAGGTTTCTTCCATAGATCCAGCAATAAAAACACACGAGGTCCACACATCTCGAATTTATATGATAAGGAAATCTGATGATAAAGAACAAGAGGAGGAGGATGAGGATGAAGAGGAGGAGGAGGATGAGAGGGAAGATAAAAAAGAAAAGAAGCAAGCAGATGAAGCTAATAGAGTTGAGGTGCCTGCTGAAGATTTGGAAAAAGCTTATACTTTTGGGAGAACGATAGTGCCACTGATTTCTTATGATCAAGACTTGTTGCATTTAACAACGACTGCGTCTATGGATATACTGGGTTTCATTAGAACTGAAGATGTGAGTCACAATGTTTTGTATCTTTTACCTTTTTATTTCTTTTCTTTAATCTTTTTATGATTATAGTTCAGACGTGAATACATTTTATCGAATGTTCTTGTCATATTACCACCACAAAGTGATTTAGATGCATCACTCCGTGTCTCGGCTCTGATACAAGGATTGTATGTAAAAAATGCATATGGCTTGGTTCGTTATATCAGCCGAGCAAACGCCGATCCAAAAGTGGGAATAATTGTGCCGTATTTCAAACCACCCCGTGAATGCTTATATTTTGCAAAGGTATGTAAAAAAAGAAAATCCTACATTGTATAAGCATTTTTTTTTGTTAATAAACTTATCACCCCATTTAATAGCTTCCGTTTAAAGAAGATTATCGGGCTTGTGTTTTTCCTTCTTTGAGTAACATCAAAGACAAGAATGGTAAAATACTAGAGCAACACAAAAACTTGCCTACCAAAGAAATGCTGGATAAAATGGGTGAATATATTGCGGGAATGGATTTAATGGAGGCCGCTGTGGACGAAGATGGGTATGCTTGAATATTCTGAATTGATATTGACAAATCATGTTATGTATAGTTTGATTTATTCTGTGCATGGTAGGAATCCAAAGGAGCATTTAAAAGTCAAAGAGACATTTAATCCTTTATTATACCGAATCACAAAAGAGACTGCACATCGAGCTTTGCGTCCAAATGAGCCTCTAGCTCCCTTAAACGAAAGGTTCTTATATCAAACAAAAATTTTACCGTCTCTTGAAGAAAAGAATCGAAAAGTTGTTGGAGAGTTAAATGAATTATTGCAAATTAAGAAAGGTATATTGTACCGTGGTTGAATTAACTAAATGATTCATTATATAACGAATTTCATGTTTTTGTAGTCCCTCCAAAAGCTAAACGACGACGTGCTGAAGTTTCCAGAAAAGGTGTAGGCGAGATCGATGTTGAAGACATACTTGGAAGTAAGGACGAGGATGAGGTTATGGAAGATGTAGTCACGAAAAAACTTAAGTCTGCTTCTGATTGGAGCTTTGAACATGATGTTTCTTTAGAAGATGTTGACGTACGAAAGATTGGCATCGTCGATCCTATCGGTGATTTCAACAAGATGATCGAAAATCATAAAGAGGATTTAGTTACCATGGGTATTTGGTAGCATTCACTTATTTATGTGATATTAAATATTCTTTGGGTTATTTAAACTTGATGTGCTTTTTAGCCGTCGAACAAATGTGTGGCATTATCAAGAAGCTGGTAACACCTTCGAATGGTGAAAAGGCCGATAATGAAAAAGCATTGCAATGTTTGAAGACTCTGCGAGGTGTTGCTACAAGAGTAAGAAAATGATGGCACGATTATTTATTATATACCGTAAAGCGCTCTGTATAGTATCCCCCTTTTTAAAAAATTTAAAAATTTAAACCTCAATTTAACCTCAAGGCTATAAGACCAGTAACTAAATTTTTAAAAAATCGCATAGTGAAATTTAGTTATTTTTCGGAAAAAACAATTGGATTTACTAAAAAAATTGAGGTTAAATTGAGATTCAAATTTTTACAAGAGGGATACTATACAGAGCGCTTTACGGTAGTCGATTCCGTTGTGATCATTGAATATATAATTTTTTTCTAGGAAAATGAAGCACAAAAATTCAATGATTTTTTACGCGAATTGTACAAGGAAAGTCCTAAAGAACAATCAAAGACCATGGATTTCTTGGGAGCGGTAGCAAATGCCAATATTACCCTAATAAGTTCCGATGAAGCATCAGACAGTAATTTTTCAAAATATGAAGCAGATCAGGTACATATAATAACTTCTAATACTAGAATGTATTTTATGGGTTTTTCGATTAACTATCTGCATTCTTTTCCTCTTCTAGTTCTTGCATGCTATCAATGATATGTCTTTTGTTATTCTAGAACCTGAAGATGGTCGAGAACATAAATCTAAAAAGATATCCTCGGGTGATGATTTGGTATGTATGGAGTATTACTTTTTGAATTTATTGTTTTTTGCGTATTTTACTGAGTTTTCTTTCTTTAGTGGGATGAGCTTATGTCGTGATATAGCTACGAATTCTTTTTTTTGTCAATTTCTTGTGTTTAATAAAAGATCGGGTCAACTAATTCCATGTCAAAGAAAAACTAGGCACGTGAATGATATGTTGAACTAACTTCTAGATATCGACATGTCAAGAAACTAATTTCTTGGTCTATCTCTATTTTACCCTAAAGTTGCAAATCTTGTTTTTACCAAATTGAAGATAATTTGCTGACGATCGTTTAATAAATACGTGTCAAAAATTACAAGTATGAAAATCGCGTGCTAATAATTTTTTTGCACAATATCATAATAACATGGTGTCAAAAGACTCGGCGAGCTTTCTCGATTATATAGATTTAAATGAAAAATCATTATTAATTTCATTTGTCTCGATTACATTTAACCCCATTTTCTGGAATCATGTTGCAAGGAGAGGTTAATTTCGGTTGAAGATTTCGTGTCAAAAAAGTAATTATTGCAAAGTAAATTATTGAGAATTCCCTTTGTTTATGTAGAATATAAAACAAAATTTATCACCCGTCTCGCAGGTGGTAATGCTTTCCTTGGATGTTATGCATTAGCAGTTACTATTTTCTCGTTGGGTATATTTCGTGATTACCTGTAAGTTCGCTTCATGATACTACTATTAGCTTTTATTTCACGTATCTCACCAATTTCTTCATATTTATAAAAGATACAAAACGGCAATCGAGAATCAACCCCAATATCCAGGTCTACAACATGACTACGTTAAAGCAGTGGCGATAGGATTGTTTTTGGCAGGGAATATATTTGTGCTGTCTTCTATGTATGCGTTGGGTGTTACGGGAACATATCTTGGTAAAGAGATCGAACAATGGTCGTGTAGATTGCTGTCAATACAACCTCATCCATCATAATAACAATTATAACAATAATAGGTGATTACTTTGGCATACTTATGAACGAACGCGTCACATCGTTCCCGTTCAACGTGCTCGAGAATCCAATGTACTATGGATCAACAATGATATTCACCGCTACTGCTTTATGGTATGCTGCATGTATATGTAAAGATAGAGAGATATATATATATGTATATCGTTTTTCTTTTCTCACCCATTTTTGCACACATTCTAACAAAATTTAGGTTTGCTAGTCCAGCAGGACTTGTTCTGACTGCCTGGGCCTTTTTCTGCTATATTGTCGCGCTACGATTTGAAGGGTATGTTTTTGAATCTTGTGTAATTTTTTCTGATTCAAACTAAATTTACATTCCTTTTTTTTATTTTAGACCGTTTACTACTATGATTTATGAACGTCGTGATGCCGCGGAAAAGGCAAAAGATAATTAAATCTTTCTATCAATTAGAGGAAATAAGAAATACAGATGCATATGTTTATTTATATTTATATTACATAATGAGAGAAAGAAATTCTCGATCGAATATTTATTAATAAAAATAAAAATATGTACGCTTTTATAATTATTGCACCGAGAGACATCAAAAAGGTCTTTTCCACCGATTATATCTATCTTTTCTCTTTCTCTTCAACCCAACATAAAATTCACGAGCTAAAGCGTGTGTCTCGGGTGGATAAGGGGACGGTATCTCACTTTTTCCCGGCCTCGAGATAGGATCGCGAAGATATACAACGGAACATGCGTTGAAATTTACTTCCAGATACTCGGGTATAAATAGAAAAGGTTGCATAAACGGTTTTGGTTTGAATACGAATGGAACATTGTCATTGGGTGGGTCAGCTTCATGCAGGAAAGAAATAGCGGATGGTTTGACGCTGATAATGTCACCATCTTGAGCTAAATGTGAAGGAGCAGATACCTGCATGGGAAATTGAATTCACATAAATGATTGAGCTAACGGTCGTTATACATTCTATAACGATAAAAGACTTACTTTTTTTCCATTAACACTAACTTTCCCATGCACCACCATTTGCCTAGCAGCCCATATGCTCGGCGCAAAGCAACTCCGAAACACGATAAAGTCCAATCTTCTCTCCAAACAAGCAAACGTATTAACAGCAAGCGGGGGATACTTTTTCTCTGTGTCTTGACCAGCAACACGCATATTACTTGTGGGCAAACGCGTACTGAACGACTTCAAAAATTGTCTTTCGTTAAGTTGTGCTCCATGATACCCACGCGTGTCTTTTTTCGCTTGCCATTTCTGTTGGAAAAGAGACTTGTTCTGCATGCGTGGTGGTGCGTTTCCCCGCAGATGCATAATGAAGAGATTTTTCTTTGACCACGACATTCTGATAAGTCCTCGGGCAAGTTTTTCGCTTGGTTTTCGCATGGTGGAGAGTTTCTTGTTTAATTATTGGCTAATGTAAATTAATTGAGGCATCGAAGGGTTCAAGATCAAGATATGCATATATATAATTGTGCACAATCAAAACGAAATTTCGCATTCAAACCGTATAATTCTGTGATCTTGTAATACTGAGTTTAAATACCATTAAAATGCACAATGATATTTCAATTTCAATATTTCGCATTTACGTATTTACATTATTTTTTTGATGAGTGAGAACATTTTTATTATTTGTAATCTATCATCGTATATCATCTCTGTCGTTCTTGCTGCTGAGCCCAGAATTGAACATTCATCATTAATAATCGGAGATGCATCAACGAATGAAATCCAAAAAAATTCACTATAAATATAAAAAGGACGTTAGTCACTCATTTGTTCAGACTTTAGACCAAGTCTCCTTTCCCTTAACGACCATTTAGTTTCCATCCTAGTCTCCATTGTCTGAACTCTGCACTTTCTCTCTCCCGCTTCTCTGAACTTTTTATTTATTGCTTTCTATAACACATATATATAACCAAACGAGATGACAAACTCACCAAAAACGGAACCAAAGAAACTACCAGTCTCTGTTTCTCGCGAAAACTTAATGTCAATAAATAATAGCAACTACACAATGTCTCACGGCAATTCCTCTCCTGATCAAAGACCATTGCAAGAGACAAAAAGCGAAGAAAGAACTTGTAGTAGCCAAAACCAACAACACGACAAAAACAACTTTGTTGAAAGACCAGTGCTGGCGGCAGCGTCAACTGAACAACCAAGTGGTACCACTATTGCAAATGAACCAAAACTGGGAAGCAGAAATGGAAATATAACACCACCTTTTTCACCGCAAATACAACAATGCCCAGTAACTTATTTTAATGCGACTTTGAACCAAGGAGTTTACCAACAACCCGCTTTGACGGGTGAGACTCCTACGTATACGCTATTGCCGACTCAATTACCACCTGTCGTGACTCCACCAGCTACTGAAAAGCCAAAGAGACATCAAGTCAAGAATGCATGTGGTAAAGTTCATGTTCGATTTGATTATCTATTCTGTGTAACTTTCGAGAAGCATTCTGCAGTAGACTGTGTCCATTGTGTCTATATCGGGAAATGAATCTATTTATTTTTTTCAATAGTTAATTGTCAAAAAGCATGCAAGAAATGCGATGATGGACGTCCTTGCAAACGTTGCATAAAGTGTGAAATGACAGATACATGCAAAAGTTCAACTCGGAAGGAAAGAAAGAAAGGAATTAAACGGGGTCCATATAAGAAAAAAGAAAAGATCACCGCTAATCCCAATGGTAATTTGATCATTATTAGATATATTATAGTGATACTCGTATTAACGCGATAAGATCATATAGCTACAGCCTCTTCGTCCACAAATATTCCATCGACTGGAGTAATTTCTACAAACGGACAAGACTCGTATGGAACAATGCCGATCCCACTTTTGGGTATGCCCGGACCATATTTCATGTTTCCTACAGTTTCATCTACTGCTGCTCCATACGTATTTCTCACGGGAGCATGTATTCCACCTATGGTAATTAAACAAGAACAAAATCAACAAAAATCCAATAATAACAATACGGAAAAAAAAGAAGAAACGTTATCATCAAAAGAGAAATCGCCTGATCATCAATCTCGATCATCTTCAATATCGTCGTCGTCTTCGCAACAATATCAACAGCAATTGAAGTCTGATACGATCGATAAAAATGTTGGATCGAAATTGACTCTTTTGTCGCAAGTTTGCAGCGATATGTTGAAAAAGACTGATCCCTCTTTATTCCATTCTTCCCAAACAATACGAAAAGATTTGCACATTAAACCTATTTCTATGCCATCCTTTACTTCGACTACGCAAACAGATGATAACGAGAGAGCAACTGATCGCTTGCAAGCTGCAGTCACTTCCCATCATGCTGACCTGCGCCAGGAACCTCTGAAAGACGAAATCGTGAGAGAATCATCCGAGGACAACTCCATTCGAGAATCGAATAAAAATATTCGACAAGAAACTGGATCACACCCTCAATATACTTATCAAACTCAATTCATGCAATTTCAATCTGCTAACAATAATAACAACAATAATTTCTCGCAATATTACTCTTATCAAGATCATCAACGACAACAAAAGCATCAACCGATATTACAACAAGAGTCGCAAAACCAACAATCTTCAAACTATTCATACATTATTCGACCAACACTGCCAATCCTTCAGCCTTCCAACATTCAAGTCGGAGGTTTTCCTCCTTCCTCTACTTATCCATCATTATCATCATATGCGTATAGTCAACAACTACAACAGCATCATCAACAATCATCTTCTTCTCAAACACAGCAGGAAATACCCGCGCAACTGTCTCAATATCATAACAGTTTTCTGTCGATGATTCCACCCCAAAATAAGCAAAGTTTACCGTAATTATGAGAGAATCCGCGGTTCATTTCTTCCGTTTTAATTAACGAGTTGCTTAGAGGACAGATAATAAAATGTGCAATCTTTAGATATTCTATATTCAAGAACTTTTGTATTTTTGTTAACCCTTCCTTCGCACAGCTCAAATAAAGTAAAATGTCCGTTTAATTTTAATATTTAATTAATAGCTTTAATATACAGTAATTTTAGATAATATCTATCTCTAAATCGCTGAATAAAAAATAATTAAATCGAAACCAACTTAAAACTTTCAATTTTTGGATGGATTTCTACTTCTGACCCTGATTGTTAATTATGGTGAGAAGATAATAGACAGAATAATGTATGATCTCAACTGCTTCACTCCATTATTCAATACCTCACGCATAATTGTCTGTTTCATTTTTTTGAGCTCTTTGGACCAATATACATATCGCCTTTCCGGTAAAGATTCTTAATCTTCCTTTTCGAGTATACATTTCATTTGTTGGTTTGGTGAGGGATACTACTGGAAATCAGATAAAGATTGGTGCAAATGAGTTGTAAAAATTAGATAAGCTTATCTAATTTTTACAACTCATTTGCACCAATCTTTATCTGATTTCCAGTAGTATCCCTCACCAAACCAACAAATGAAGTGTATTTTAATTCCAATTCCAAATTAATATCATTACCCCCAGTTCCTTCCAGAACAAAAATGTCGAGGTAACCAAAGCGACCTGATCCCTGTGCTAATTCATTCTCGTTTCGTTCCAAGGTTTCGATTGTTTGCTTGCTACACGAATTGCGCTTTAGAAATTGATTAATTACATAGAAACACACAAAATAAGGATGGTATAGTTAACTCGCTCACAAGTTGATTGCTACCAAGTGACTACCCTTAGCAAATTAACCACAGTCTGGATCCACAACTTATCAGTTCCGAGAAACAGATTCCACAAGCAAATCCTTGTAAAATAGACTTCTATGATTAAACAAGTCGAGATTTATCACATAAGCTGGCCTGTATGATAATAGGCAAGTCAACTGTTGTCACATAGCAAAGTAGAGCAGAGACTATGAAAGTCCAATTACTATCACAAAATGAATTTGGATATTCTTAATTATCATCTTATAACTAGTTATCACATTCTTTTTATTATTTATATGAGCAAAGTTTGCACTTTATATAGAGTAGATAGTCAAGTGCAAACTTCTCTCTATATTCCTTTTGACAAAGTATTCTTGTTTCTTGTATAATTGCTTCAGCACCTTTGCTATAAGTGTTATACAGTTCTTGAATTAATATTATAGTAGCTTAAGCATGTTTGCCAGGAGTATTATAAAAGTTATTATCTTAATACTAGATTATCTGAACATGTTTGTAATGAAACCTATTGAACATTATATTGAATAAAGAAATTATTAGTATAATCTATAAATTTGTCTTTGAGATTGTATTGCTGATAATATATTACTCATAAACTCACTTTAATCTTGTATTGCTAATAATATTGTTGTAATTAGATATTTTCATAATCACAAACGATCATCTCACATGATTGCTTCACATGATCACTTCACATGATCATTTCACATGATCGCTTCACATGGTCACTCCAAATGATCATTCCAAATGATCATTCCAACCGATCATCTCAAGCGCTCCGAATGATCATTGCAAATGATCATTCCAAAT